TCCTATTTATTCCATTAATCAGTTATGAAATCAAGAATACACCATTAAGTTTAATATAATTTAAGGCTGATATTTCAATCACCACACAACACTTTTGCACTAGGGGCACCGACACAATCAATGCGGTCAAATTTTTCCGAGTGACTGATCTAAGCAAACAAAACACGGGCGGGGCGGGAGGGAGTAAAAGTGGAGAGAGCAAATACACATTTTTTTTAATAAGTAACACTGAGTTATACCGAAATTATCGTCAAAATAATAATTTTATTTTTTTCTACTTTATTTCCCGAATTCCCGGGAAATCGATCTTTCTTTTCCCGTCCCGACAAAGGCCAAATTTCCCGGGAATTCCCGCCTCGGGAATTCCCGCTGAGAAACCCTAGTTTTGACGTTTGGCTTCACGATTCACCGTGTAAGAAACCAATATCACGCAGCTTCTACTACTGGTTTACTCGTACTGACTAGTAAAATTCGACATAAAAATAACTTAGTGAAAGCACAGAATACAGACATTCATAATAAGTAACGTAGTACCAAAGTTTTGTCACAAACACCAGCTTTTTAAGTCGTCTTAGCTACAACAAAATGCTGACTAAGGTGTAACGTGTCGCAAAAGGTTCTCATCAAAACGCTGTCGAAGGAAATAAATGTTTGTCCATTATTAAATCACGAGATTGACTTCATTTTTGTGTCATTTCGCTGATTTGACACGTGTGAAAGGAATGAGGTCATATAACCCGATGAACTCTGGTGTCAGGGTTTTTCAACCGCCTACTACAAGTAGCAAGCCTCTGACATGGTTGTGTAACGACTGCCGTCTAAGTAATTATAGACATCAACCGGGAAAGACGGCTTAATGTGACCTCCGAAGCACGGAACTAGCTTTTCGGACAATCGGGTGGTTCAGCCTGCAATGTCCTGACCAGACTGGGAGCAAATTCACAAAGTGATAAATATCATTTTTGTGAGTGAACCCACCGGGAATTAAACCCGGAACCTACTCTCTCTCTCTTCGTGTGGGACACCGAGTCGTTCAACGAACCTACTGAGTCGTAGGCAGTCGTACTAACCACTACGCCACATCGGTTGTTAAGAGTTGTATGATAGAACCTGACCCGTTGTATGGGGTTCATCAAGGGTTCATCGGATCGTTTGTAGTTTCGGTATCCAAGAAGACGCACACACACAAATATATCACACCTATATCCCTTGTGGGGTAGGCAGAGCGCAGACGACTGCAAAAAACGACCATCTACACCACGTCTGACAAAAGTTTGAAAATAATTCAGAAGACTGTGCCATAGTGACTAAAATTGCAATACACGTCAACTCTGCAATCCCTAATTCGCTTCTCACGACACCCACGGAAATGATAGGGGGTGATGCTTTTCTAAGCCGGCACCACACGGCATAAGAAGACGTGTCGTATGAAAAAAAGCTAGCTCGTGTAAATTCCTAAGACATGTAAAGCGAGCCGCATTTATACTAGGAATAAAAAATTGTTATAAAAAGGAGAAAATTGTGCCTTGCAAATTTCTCCTTTTTACAATGACTAATTCATTTCTGTGTAATATTGACTATCAACACAAAGTAAGTATTGGCTATCAATAAGTAATATTTTATATTCTATATTGAATAAAGAATTTTTTGTTTGTAAAACTGCACTTAGTAACTCAGCGTTTCGTTCATCAAAGATGCCGCGGCATTTCTCAGTAGAATTTGTCATTCAGAATAATAAGTAACAAACAAACATATTGTTTAGAGGATACTAAACGTGTAGTGTGCGTTTTGTACTTTAGCCGCAATTTTGTCATATACATTTCTGAGCTATTTCATCCCAGTTACTTCAACAAAGCATTTTTTTTATCCAATGTTCTGCCGTGTGGTGCCGGCTTAGAATAGCGTCACCTCATTTCTACACGTGGGTGTCGTATAAAGCGACTAAGGGATGGATCCAGGGAGTGGGCAGCAACTTTCGCTGTGAATATCTTCAACACCTTGCACTGCGCTCGCCAATCCGCTAGCCAAGTGTGTGAGTGTGGCAAAACCTCCCTAAATGGGGGTGGCCATGGCCAGCTGTGGACTGTCGTGGCTGTAGTAGTAAGAAGTGGGATATCGAGTCAACGATCAACTCAATGCAAACTGGTGTCAGACGATTATTGAACATTAAAGGCAAGCTTTATTCCTAAAATTTATTTGATCAATCCTACACAGCTATCGTTACCTTTACAGCCACAACAGTCCACTGATGGACATGGGCCTTCCCTTTTCGGGGGGTATTGCCGTACTCACCACGCTTAGCTGGCGGATTGGCGAGCGCAGTGCTAGATGTTTCATTCACAAGAAACGCTGCTGCCTATTCGCTAAGTAATTAACCCTTAGTCGCTTTTTACGACACCCAAGGGCAGAATTGGGGTGATGCGTTTCTAAGCCGGTAACACAGCCAACGTTGATGATAAACTATTAAGGGCCTGTGCACGTCACAGGTAAGGTAAAACCGCGCCTACAATTACTACTAAACGTTCTTATCGTCCACACCACTATCTACGTTAGTGGTGATAATGTGCTGATAATTCTTTGTAGCTTTAACACACTTTGCCAAGCACGACCGTTGTGCCGATAAGTTTAAGTGTCATGCATACATACAGGGTGTAAAGGACGGTGTACCGAAAACTTTGCAGGCATGATCAGACAATCAAACTGAACAACTTTTACTATCGGGCCAATGGTGGGAAACGAAAAAAAATTTCCGACCTCCCATACAAAGTCAGTCAGCTAATCGTGAATTTTGTATGGGAAGTCGGTTTTTTTTTTCGTTTCCCACCATTGGTTCCATAGTAAAAGTTGTTCAGTTTGATGGTCAAATCATGCCTGCAAAGTTTTCGGTACACCGTCCCTAACACCCTGTATATCACGCCTATATCCTTTGCGAGGTAGGCAGAGCGTTAACTGCCATTTACACCACGTCTGACAAAAGTTTTAGAGTCGTTCAGAAGACTTTATCACCATATAGACAAGTGCCAACCTGCAAAATTGCAATACACATCAACTCTCAAATCCCTTAGTCGTTTCTTACGACACCCACGGAAAATACAGGGTTATGTTTTAGTCAGTGCCCATAGTAAAAGTTGTTTAGAATCACGAGTAGAAACATCCTGCAAAGTTTGCGCACTGACTAAAAAATAATCTTTATATGGGGTGATATTATTCTATACCGGCATCACGCAGCAAATTTAAACAATTCACACACTTGAAATAAACAACTTCACTTGCTCGTTATCGAAAATAGACATTTAAATGTACGTGAATATGTATGAACGTGACTGTTAAGGTGACCCAATACAAATAAGCATAAGTATTTTAAGCGTATGCTGTTACCGTGTAATACCAATTTACCATTTGTTGTATTAATTTATTTTCAGGCAATCAACAGTTTAAAATTAAGTTACATTATTACATACAGTACATACACTGGACGTCAGGCATGTGGCCGGTCATAAAACAAAGCAAAATACATTTGCAACATGATTCTGTGTTCGAACAAAACGTGTTGCGCCGACCCCAAGTAATTGGTATAAGGCAATGTATAAGGGTAGGAAGATGATGATATTACATACACTAGCTAGGGGTCGTCCACAAATTACGTAACGCACTTTGGGGGGAGGGGGGGTTCCGACCAGGCGTTACGGTCCCGTTACTATGGGGGAGGGGGGGGGGTCAGAGTCAAGCGTTACGTAACGCATATTTAATTATTTTTTTAATATTTTTTAGGTTTTTGTACCTAATTTAGACATTACCAAACTAATTAATGTATAATTTTTTTTTATTACAGTGTGTCAGTGCAGTGTCTGGAATGCTACATATTCGAAATCATTCAAAAATTTTCAGCTTAAGGCAGGATCTGAACGTACGACTATCGAAAGTAGTACAGACGATGCCTCTTCCGTCTGGGCTACTGCGGCTCAATCGTTTATAGCAGATTTTCATCGCTTTGGCTACATAACAAAAACTGGAACAAAAAAATAATTGCTTGGAATTAGTTGCAAAACTCTCCCTGTAAATAGATTCATTGCCACGCGTTATTGGCCTACAAACATACATACACTTTTATAATTTCGCAGACAATGATTGAGCTGCAGTAGCTCAGTTTGAAGAGGCGTTGTTGGCTGTACTAATGCTGAAAGTCGCATCTTCAAATTCTGTCTGCAATAGCGAAAATTGCAAGTTTAAAACAAAGTTTCTTTGCTTTATCACAAAAAATAAACTGAAATATATTATAAATTAAGCGTTACGTAACGGAAAGGGGAGGGGGGAGGGGTCACAACCAAGCGTTACGGTCCCGTTACGTGGGGGGAGGGGGGGGTCAAATATTTGTGATTTTTGCGTTACGTAATTTGTGGACGACCCCCTATATTAAAGTAGTTAATTAGTATATTTAGATGTAGGTAGGTATTTTTCTGTCTACTGTATATTAATTAATGTCAATTTTGTGTTCTGTGCAAATAAAGCATTTTGTATTGTTTTAAAAAATAAGTCTTAATTATGAAAATGCTAACAGCTAATTTACAAGTTTTTTTGGTAATGCCTCTCCTCTGACATAAAGGGTTGCCTAACCCATTGAAATTAACGAAGTTTTTTAAAAAATTACAAGAAATAATCTTAGACGCAAGCTCTAAAGAGTAGACGCGAGACTTAAGAAAACGTCTGTCAGAAAAGTGATCGTCAGCCGTCATCGATGCGAGGCGCGTCTCATGTGTGTAGCTTTGGCTCTCCTGATTTATACATTTTATCATAGACAAATGAAACCTTTTTCGCGCAGCGCTACGAATAACGTTTTGGTCCTCTGTGCATTTTATCTATGCATTTTATATGGAAACGGTTTCAAGCGTCGCGATGTCACACGACTTACGTCTTATAGAAGTCTGTGTGGCCTCATAGAAGATATACATTTTCAGCCACAGGTTCAACTTATAAATGAAAACAAGAAATAGAAAAAATTTCATGTCGACCGGGGGTCCAACCCGGGACGCATGGGTAAACACCCCACCGCTCTGCCACTGAGCTATCGATGCACCGGTTGATGAATGCCAAATTTTCTATCTCTTGATGCTCGTCTCCAAGCGACGATCGAGCGACATCTGTAGAAAGTTACAACTTTACTACCACATTATGAGTGGAATACAAACCATAATGAAGAAGCTTGCTTAATCAATCTATTCTCATTTAGGAAAATAATATGGCGCTGTGAGTGCATTAAAATTTCAATTCAACTTAGATTCTACCCAGTTAAATATCTAGGTACAATAAAAGATGCTTCTAAGATATTACTACTTTGACATTGCAGGCTGTAGCAACCTATGCTATTCACAACTTCTCAGAATTTCAGTAAACGAGTAGTCTTGGAATGAAAATTACAGAAACATGGCTCTATCCAAGCTATATCTCGACTTGTGCAATTCAAGCATTTGATAAGTCATTCATAGCTGTTTTCGTTCGACAAGTTTTCGCAGACTTAAATGCGACACAGCAATGTAAAACAAGATAATAACCGCTTTAGTGATGTTAGTTAGACCCTTTTGTAATAAGAAGTTGTAATAGTAAAAAATACGTAGGTATTTTTTAATTAGTTTACGCGTAAATACGTTTTTATGTTGTGTTGGCGCACGATACAGGTACAAAGACATTTTATAGAAGATTTTATGTATAATCTAGTTTTAGCATTTTTATTTTTACACACAAGGAACAAAAGGTTTAAAGGAGTAACAAAAAGGGTATAACAAGCCGAAAGGGTCAAGGTACTCAATAAACTGAACAACTCTCCCAGTCGAATTGTTGAATAGTTTGGGTCGAATTATGAAAAAATATTGACCAGTCGACCGAGTCAAATTGTTTGGGAAGTTCAATACTTTTTTCATATTTCGACCTATTTTCATTGGGGAAAGTTGTTGAATTTCACAAGTAGACCACACCCATATCTGCACAGAATTTCAAAGGACCTTATACGTATAAGATAGGTATCCCGTCTCCTCTCTTTGTAATTTAGGAAAGTGACAGAAGTATCGTTCAATCAGCTAAAAAAGTACCTATGCATACGCAGCAGTAGCTGTGCTGATAATCTTGGTAAGTAAAGATGTAATTAATAACTTACATACATGTTTTAATCTTCTGCACATTATTAAAGGGAAAGGTGTCTTGTATGTTTCTTATCAGAAATATAAATAAGATTTATTACTGGAGGCAGGACGGCGCCTTGAGTTAGGCAATAAATGTGACTGATGTCTTGAAGATGTACCTTTCAAATACCTGGCAAATTTCAAATAAATGGCAAAAGTTTACTCCGAATACTCCTAAAAAAACAATAATAACTCCCTCAGCGATGTGTCTTAGAAAGATCGATTCAGACAAGGGTGGCAGATAAGTATACGGACTAACATATTGAAAATAAGTTTTTATTTTTCTACTTGTCTTGTAGGTATTTGTTTTTGTGTACAATAAATGGTTTATTAAATAAAATAGTTATCAGCTGCGAGCTACCAACCAAATCCTGCCCTTATCCTAAATCAGTTAGAGCGCAACATGATTTGCTAGATAGAACACAAAATCATTTAGCCAAATCCTTGGCTATGTTTTATTGGCGACTGGCTGCCTGACGTCAAACATCATTGGAAATGCTATTGTAGGTGGTATCACCGCCGCCATGCGGTTGACCGTAGTCGAGAGATATTCAGCCGCAGTCAAAAACTCGGGTGCGGTCACGACCCCGGATCGTGTTTTTTTGCAGCTACTGGTTACAGGAGACATAGTGCATTAGTTTTTTTCTACATCATTTTGTGGGCTAACAAAACATGTAACGCCGACCCCAAATGATTGGGGTACAGGCAAACATTACAGGCAGAAAGATGTCTAAAGATAGAAGAATCTAGCATAACCCTTGGTATAATAAGATACGCATAACCATTTAAATGTAAAGGATGTATTACTAAATACTTTTACTGGCTATGCATTTTTTAAAGCCACCAACTTTACGCGAAATCTGTGCTACAGGTAAGTAAAGGGCTTACAAAACCCTCCTAAGTACCTGTCATACATAACATAACACAATGTACATACATACAAACATACATTATGTGTACATACAAACAGTGCGCAAACGTAACCATTTTGAGTGTGACAACGGTTTTGCGAAATCACAACTTTACTGTTACCGCATATGTACATAAATTATGGTTGGGCAGTTAGGTACATGGAGGTTCGTAAAAAAAACGAGGGGTGTCCGAGACCATAAAACTGACCTGAAAATTTTGATCTATCTTGATACACGGATGTAAACAGTTTACTTCTCCTATTTTTAAGCCTAGTTAAGTATATAGCCAACTGCTTTCGGTAACAGACTATTATAGTTTTATCGAGACACTTAAAAAAGAAATTATTTTTGTTTAAAAAAAATTGGTGCTTTTATTTATAACACTCAAAGAAAAAATGGACTTCGCATTCTACTGAATAATAATGCTGACCGACAAAACATTTTGTATTGGAGTGTCCATTCTTTTTTCTTTCCAATATCTAAAACCAATATTCCAGATTGGTATAAGGATGTCCAGAATCTAGATTTTTTCTTTAAGGACTACTTAAAGGGGTCGTTTCCTACAACGGGGTTACCTACTTGAGGTGTTGCTGATAGTACCTACCTACTTACTGGCTATCTAATACCGGTTTAATAAAATATTATCATGTTACTTAGTAGATAATATTATTAGGTAAATTGAATACCTCAATAAAATTTAACTTGTACTCGTACTTAGTAACTTAATATTTATTGAGTAAAATAAACAACTCATTTAATATTAAGTATTTATTAATTACGAATATTGAAGACGTAAAGATAGTTGAATAAGGTACAGACAGCATATGTATCGATAAATCCCTAATAACAATAACTTTCAATAAGGGTGGGGTGGTCAATAAGTCTACTGATGTTAAAAATATATACCCAGTAATTAAAGAAACATTTCCAGACGTGAACTATCTACATTAACTCAACTGCTATTCCCAAGGAACTTATACGAGTGAAATTAGGTATGAAAAAAATATTTGTTATTATAAAACATGTTTCGACACAGGCATTTTCAAAGGGAGGTTAAATTTTAGACACATTTTATAGCAAATTTGGGATAATCTTGACCACGGAACATAGGTCGAGAGTAACTATTTTATTTTCTTTATGACGTATCTACGAACGACCCGATGAACCTAGAGAATTACGTTTTTCTGTAATTTGCACTTTTTGCCATTGCATAAAAAGTTTAAAAGTTTTGCGATCAGGATCATTCACGATAAGCCACGTTAAAGTAACTACTATGTGTGAAAGTAATCGCGAGTGCTTAAAAAGTTATATTCACGTCACGATGGAGTTACTAAATCCCACAGGAATGTCGTTTTGATGTAACTACTTCTTTTTATGAAACCACTACTTTTGTTGTTTTAAATCTCTATGTTCACTATTTCTTTGTTTCGCCGCAAAAACAGCAATTGAAGTAAAGGTAATCCTCATGTAATGTGCCGGCAATTTCGCTGCGTTTGCCACTTTTGCCCTTCACACACGACTGGGCCGTGGCAAAAAGAAGCAATTGACATTGAAACAGCGCTATTGTCTGGCAAATCTTCATTAGGCCCGGTCTGCCACGGGTCCGATTCGTCAGTCTTGTCTAGTAAATGAAGGGGAAGGAGCCAGTTGCAGAAGACCGAAACGGTCCGTCCGAAGTCCTTAAGTCCAATATCACGACAGTTGAACTTTAAACTTTTTTTGAACACGATTGTTTTTACAATGAAATCTGGACTAAGACTTGTGCAAGTAGATCCTTCAAATCTTGACTGCGAGTTAGGCGATTTGCTTCGGTCCCATTCATCACTCTTCACCTTCCCTTACGTGTGCGTAAAATGAAAATAAAAAATAACTTAGGATAAATAAATGACCACTTATTGATAGGCATACATTGTCCATAAATGGATTAGTCATTGCATATTGGGACACCGAATCGTCCAATGATCTGATAAACCTTGGTGTCAGAGGTTGAACCATGAAGTTGCACTAAAAACTATTCTTTTTTTCATTTGACGTGTTGAGCATATTTTTTTAGCATTTAGTCGTTTTCCTAAAATTATCCAAAAATACGATAAGTATTAATGTAATATTTTTTTTAATTTTCCCGCTCAATACAACTTCAAGTTAGAGTTGGTAAAAAAAGTGAGGAAGACGTGGCATAGACCATAAGTTATTTCTCAAATTAATATTTAAAACCATTTTCTTTCAAATACAAGAGAACATTTTTGAATTATTGTTCTAATGTGACTGTATGACGAATTGGGACACATTATGTAAATGTGGCCAAGCGGTACCGTGGCAAACTGACTCTAACTCTGTCTAGTAAATCTTCACTGCTGACCGTACACAGTATTTAAAGTTGCCGCCTAAGATGCCACCTTGACACCCTTAGGTCTAGTAATAATTATAAGTTTATTAGCAGATAAAAAAAATTCAAGAAGTGACATGATGGATGTGGTTTCTTTTTATAGTTTTTGCGTGCTTGGGTGTTTTGCAAGTTTTTCTTATTTGATTTTAGTTACGTATTATGTTGGCACGTTTGTGCATTTAAACTGCATAGGTGTAGTAAAAACAGCTGATAGAGTTATTCAATCATTTGTAAAAATGGGTTTTTATTGTATTTTATTCAAAAAAGATTTTTTCATGTTAATTTAGGATATGTTTCACGTTTAGGACCAGAATTTATTTTAGGCTATAAAATACAATTTGATTTAAACCCTGTTTAAAAATATTAATGTAATATTATTAAAATAATGCTCAGTCCAGCTTTGTTCATGTGGTAACAATGCTGAATACAATTTTATCAACGCGTTTCGTTTCATACATGACACGATGTGATACATGTGTGTAAATATTACAAAATGATTCATTAAACATCATAAAGTATTATCTTTTAACCAAAAGACACTCGACGATTACAATTCATTGACAAAATGTAATTGTTCACACTAAGTGACATCACTGCGACTT